TGAAACAAATTTATTGCTTTATGCACATTGGAAAAGTCTGAGGCTACGAATGAACGAAATATTGATGAGACGATAATACAAAAAAGGTGAGGAGATTTCGTCTTAAAACTATATTCATTCTAAACATGAATGACAATAGTAAAAATTCGTGTGTATCACCTACATTATCCGAAGACTCCGACATTATCTGAAGCAACGACAACACAGAGACCATATCATATGCCTGAAACGAAATAAAAAAGTGAGAAAGTAATTTAAACTGCTCTTCACAAAGATTTCTTAGAAAATGTATTTTTATTGAACTAACACAAATATTAATATTCGCATTCATAACAATATGGATAAGAACGTTTTTGAAGAAGAATTGTGCAGTATAAATTTAAAGATATAAACATACTGAGCGAAGGGTATGTATGTTAGTGAGTACCAAACAACTGCAATGTATTGCCCAATAACAGAAATAAGTGCCAGCGGTGGATTAGACAAAACAATACCAGATATTAATGTGAAAACTATTGAAAGCAAATACATAACTGATGCCAAAAACCGTCCTTGCTCAAACATTTTCTTTAATTGCTTTAAAGGACCCATTAGAAAACATGTCCTAAAAGCATGTGAATGTGAAAAAAGATTTGCTAAATCTGCAAAAAAAGTAAACGAAAAAGTTTTCCACAAAAAAATAACTCAAAAAAAAAATAATTCACAAGAATGGCTCAAAAAGATTCAAGTATTTTTCAATTAAGACTTTTATTTTCCATTTACTATTACATATAGACGCGTTGAATCCTCCCAAGAAAATGAAAAAAATAAAAAAAAAACGAATTAAACTAAACTTTTTGTTTTAAGAGATTCACATAAAATGTTCCATAATTTCTAATTTCTACATTATGAAGCAATTATTAAGAGTTTGTAATTCATAAAACAAACCCAAACAACGACAATATACTACCAAGAGACACCATTACGGTGAAACCGGTAATTTTCCATGAAAAAAGTAAGGCACTTCCTGCTAACGAACATATTAGTGAGAGACAAAAACATCCCAGAAAACACTGCAATCGTAGATCCCAAGAGAACGATGAGACTTGAGTAATCTAGAACAGATACTATGAAATTGTCAGATTAATGTTCATAAAGTAATTTTAAAAACCTTCAACTTGTTATACGGTTACTTCTCAACGTATATGATGATAATTAGCAATAAATGAATTTTACAAGTCAGAATTGTATTGACAGGATGAATATCTTAGAAAAGAAGATATAAAACAACTAACATCATCTTGTGCCCTTTCATATCCTTGACAATTCGATGATTCTAAATCAGCACTCTCCTCACTACCAAAAAAGTCATAAACGCGTTTTAACATGACATTGTCACTTTTTCCGTCTTCCTCAAATATTACGAAAATTTAAGGACATTACCTAATAAGATCACAAGAAATAAATGAGTATAACTGCAGAAAATTAATTTGTGACCACTAAAGTTTTGTAAAGTTAAAATCTATTCTATCATTTGAAGACGAATCAATAAGTCACAGAAATTCTGACGAGGAGAAAATGCAGCCATTACTTCCGATTCGCAGTTTCATAAGATACTGCTATATCCTATGAAACTGTGTAATCGCAATGTGATACTGAAGTCAGTATAGTGATGTTACAGCTTTGTTTGAGTGAGATTATAGCGATTCAATGTGCCGCTCTTAAAAAATTTATTCGGTGGCATTTACGTGAACTGAACGAAACGTAGACAAGAATACTGCCCTCCTCAATCTACATAATGAAGCAGGAGTCATTCATTTCTTAATATGTTGCATATGTTATTGAATGCAACACAATCAACGCGAATATTTTGTCACTTTGTGTACGATGAGCTATCCGAGTAGTGTTTTGGTGAGGGTTACTTTTTTGGTGATCAATTCATTATAGCTATTTACGTAAGGTTAAGCAGCAATTTAGTTAGAGAAAAGGATTAAGGATTCACAAATCCCTCGCTGCTATTAAATTTTCGTGTTGTGGGAAGGTAAGAGCAAACAGGTATATTAAGGGGCTTACAGTTTTGTCAAAGGGTTCATGAAACGATCTATACCATTCTCACGTACTGAATTAAGCTTGTCTTTTACATCTCATGTTTTCAAAATTACTATTTGCCTCTTTAAGTTATTCATGTTCATAATTTTTTTAAGTGTTTTTAGGATTTTTTTCCTGTAATTGTTGCTTTACAGTACTTTTCGTAAATTTTATTTGCGAAAAATTTTTAAAAATGCTAAATTTTGTCAATTTATTCAACGAAGACTGAAATTTGCTTGAATTTTACAAATATTTTTTATAAATTTTTTTAAACTTTGATTTACTATTGATTTAGTAATATTTTTTCTGAAACTTCAGTCATAATTCTATTATTATGCCGCCTAAAAATGCTACGAACAAAAAAACTGAGCAAAAAAAAAAGGAAAAAATTATTGAAGACAAGACTTTTGGTTTAAAAAATAAGAAAGGTGCGAAAACACAGAAGTATGTTCAACAAGTAACAAATCAGGTGAATTATATTACTTCAAGTATTTTCTAGTAAGAATTTGCAGCTTTATTGTTCTTTCATTTTGTTCCCTCTGATCTTCAAGGGCTAAGCAGCTTCTTTCATGATTTCGCTCATATGCGAAATGATTGAACTGGGTTAAAAACAAACAAACATCACCTCACTGATAAATAAACAATATGTAGTGATGCATGGTGTAGAGAAGGGAAGAAAAAATGCATAAGAGATAAAGATATTAAGAAAAAATGATATAAATAATCACATGACATAGGTTTCTGTGCAATTTGTCAAGTTATGTTTAGTGTATTATATTTTATAGATCAAACACGGCAATGTAAATCAAGCCAAAATAGAAGCTGAAAGGGCTGCTGTTAAAAAGAAAGCAGCAGAAGATGAATTACGAGACTTAAATAAACTTCTGAAACCTGTAGTTGAAATGCCGAAAGTGGCTCGAGGTATTTGAAAACTGTCTTGAAGCTCTATCTTACAGAGATAATTACAAATTATTGTATTTAGTCAGGAACAGTTATGTAAACATTTCCTGATTAATTAAGTTGTTCTTATTGGATTCACTTTAGACATTGATCCAAAATCACTGGTTTGTTTGTTTTTCAAACAAGGAATGTGTCACAAAGGAGAAAAATGCAAATTTAGTCATGATTTGTCGAAAGACCAAAAGACAGCAAAAAAAAATCTTTATGTGGACAGCCGAGATCTAGCAGGAGAAGATGGTAACCCTTGCTTCTTGCTTATCATAGATACCTTTTTGTTTGAATATTAATTTGAAGTACTGCCATTTGGTAAGTGTTTGCTACATCTTAAATTCTGTCGTCAAAGCTTGAGGTCTCTTTACTTCTGATTGAGAATTTGGGCGTTTTACTTTTCTGTGCAAAATCATTATTGCAATTAGGCTCCAAACAATTATAGATAAGATGGATGATTGGGATGAGTCGAAGTTAAGCGAAGTTGCAGAAAAAAAACATGGTGAACATGATCGAAAACGATCGAATCAAACAGATATTGTTAGTCTAACTGATACATATTTTTTTAAACATTTTCATCGACGATTTATTTCAGCGTATAAATATTTATGTAATGGATAGTGCTAAAGTTGCTATATATATATATATTTTTAGGTTTGCAAATATTTTTTGGAGGCGGTTGAAAATAATAAGTATGGTTGGTTCTGGGAATGTCCGAATGGAAATGCTTGTATCTATAGACATGCTTTGCCACCAGGATATATTTTGAAAAAGGATAGGAAAAAATTGGAAGAACAAAAGCGACTAAATGAAATCAGTTTGGAAGAACTTATTGAAAAAGAGGTCTCTTTGAGTTAATTTCTATGTTCGAATAAATACATAGTTCATTAAATGCAACTGTAAATTATGTTCTATAATTTCAGCGTGCTCAGTTAAATCCAGATAATCTCACCAAAATTACTTTGGAAACCTTTATTGCCTGGAAAAAGGACGAATTGTTAAAACGAAGAAAACAAATCTTAGAAGAAGAAAAGGAGAAAAAGAAAAATATCAGTGCTGGTAGATCGGTAAGGGTTTGATATAACGTCTGCTGCAATCTTTTCGTTGTATTCACTAAAAATGACAGGATATTTCGCTCAATATATCTCTTGAAGGCATCTTTGAATGATGCCTCTGTAAAACGTGATTCAACAAGCCTTCTTCTGATGTTTTCTCGTTTTGCTAGAATTTGTAGAATTTCAGTAGTATTTAGTAGTCATCTAGCTTAAAACAAACTCAGACTTTTTTTAATAGCTGCAAATCAACGAAAGATTTATAGGCTGGAATGAGTGGCCGGGATTTGTTTACGTATAATCCGGAATTGGTGGGACAAGAGGAAGATATGGAGGGAGGTGTTGCGTTCGAATTTGATTATGACGAGGTTGGAAGCTTTGAGATTAATGTGTTAACTTTTTAATATGACGTGTGCTTAACTTCATTTCATGAAGTTAAACTGGTTTGAAAAAATATTGCATAAAGTCATGCCTTCTGGAAAGCATGATTCAGAAATGTTCTGTCGTTGTGTTAGTGTTTATATAAATTATATAAGTCATGTAGCTTAAAGCAAATTTTTTAAATTGGTACAACATTACGAAAGTTATGCAGATTGGTATGAGTGATCGTGAAATATATTCATGTAATCCGGAATTGGAGGAACTGGATGAAGAAATGGAGAAAAGTGTTAAGTGTCTTAGGCTTGAAAACAGCCTTCAGGTTAGTATATCGACTTTGCGTTATTGATTTGTTTTTGTGTTAGTTGTAATTTGATTATATGTATACAAATTACAGCTAACACAGAAAATTACAACTAACTCATACTATATATATATATTAGAGTACAGAAAATCAAATTATTGATGAATATTGTTCACATAACTACTAAAATGCTATATAATATATATGTTTATATACTGTTCTCGTAGCTTTTCCCAACTGCATCTTTTTCTACACTGTTTTCATATTTATATATATATATATATATATGAACAATATTGCATGAAAAGAAATTAAGATATTTCGACATTTATTGAATATATGTGAACAATAATCATTAAATGTCGAAGTATCTTTATGGAGGAAAGCATTACTAACGAACTCTCAGCTTCAAGAAATAGTTAAAAATTTTAATAAATTTTTGTTTTTTAAAATTTTGTGCAGTTGTTTTTTTGTGCTTTGACTAGCTTTATAGTTAAATTATTGGTTTTTAGGCAGAAACACAGCCGTGGGACATCAGTAGGCCCGATTTTAATCTGCAAAATTCTTATGATCTTTCAGTATATGAGTATGTTGATCGTGAGGTAAAGATTTGCCTTTGTTTTTTCATTTAAAATAACTTGAAAACATGAAATATGAAACAGTGAGTGTTTTTTGCATACTTTTCTTATGTCAGGTTTATAATTTTTAGTAATGTCATGGTTTTCAGTTATTTTCACACCCAGAAGATATTGACATTATTGATGATTTATACTCCTGCATTGATAAGATACCAGATTCCGAAATTCGGTAATATGAATATGATGCTACTGGAGGCTTGTCAAGGATGACGTTGTAACAGAAGAATCAGATCATTTAATTTTGTTCAACTTTGAAGTAGTTATACTTACGAAGAAAGAAAACATCCTTTTTTTGTTTAATGCACTTACTAAATTTCGACTTGTTTTTATTTATTTTCCTTCATCGTTGATGTTTTACATGTCGGCTAACAAATACAAATTAAAGGTTTTTTCATCGACCAAAATTTATATGTAAAATTTGGGATTCACTCCGAAATTTACATGTAAAAATTTGGAATTATTTTAAAAAGTTTCAGGAATAAGTGACGTTAGACTATCAATTTGTTTGCTCGAAGAAAAAATTTTTTCAAGAAATGACTAAACTGTGGTGCAGTATTACGCTGTGTATGTCTCTAAACTTGAATATCACCTAAACTAGTATTTTGAGATGCGTAGTAGTAATACCGATCCGTGTTAAGCATATAAGTGCATGAGTTTTTTGTTAGAAGTCGATCTATGATTTAGCTATGAATCCTTTGGTCATTCATTTTTTTCTTTAATAAATTGTTAGTGCAGTGAAGGTATGGCAAGAAAGTGAGTGAAAAGAGAAGTTGTGGACAGATGGTAGTCGCTTTCTGCGCTACTCTTTCGAAAATCAGGTTTGTGATGATGGTGAACTGATGGGTGATGTGATGAAGACTGGTTAGTTGGTTGGTTGGTTTAGTATGACACCGATGACAATCCTCCTCACCTGCCTATTTCTTTGCGTTCTGCGCTCCATTCTGAGCCGATACATATGGTTGACAGGAGTGGTATTGATGGGGTTAATTTACTGTGTGGTGGAAGTCTTAACTGTCATTCCCTTGTGCTTTGCTTTTATTTTTAGTTGTTTTATCCAAACATGATCAATCTCATATTTTGTGCCTCTTTAGTTGTACGGACTTGCTGCAGTATTTGGGTGATTTTATCAGTCTATCTTGTTTTTTACTCAAAAGTTATCATGTATTGTTTACTTTAAACTATCGTAGCCTTATCTTGAAAGCAAATTAAGGTATGGAAGAAATTATGCCATCGTCTTTCGTACCAGAATTGGTTAGTGTTTGTGATTCAAGTGTGCTATGCATAAACATATTGACTGAATTTTAAATATACAAACATTTATATATAAATATTGTATGTATGTATAATGAGCAGGATTTGCAACCATTTCATTGTAGTAAGTTGCAATATTTCAAATGATATTACCTTCTGTGAAGATAACAGAATATTGCTTGCTTCTTACTGCTTAATAAACAGAGTAAAATAAAGTAGAAATAAGCCTAGTTACGCTTTTGAAGATTGGCGAATATCATATCGCATTGAGAATCGAAGATGAGTACCGAGAGGTCTATGTGATGTGCTCATGGGGGCAACATATTATGCAAATGAGGTGGGGAAGTATTGCTGATGCTTCTGTGTACATGTAGTCAGAGTATCTGTACAGATGGATCTTATCAAGAAAGTTCTTGGAGTGTTGCGGCATATCTATAAAGAATATATATTTATTGTGTATGAGTATGTGATATGCTATTTGGCTGTAAAGGTTGCTGCGTATACATTCTTGCATTTTTATTACACTTTTGCACAAAGGAGCAACAAATAATTTGCTTAATTAATTTGATGAATAATATCAATTGGGTCGATAGATTAATTCATAGGTACAATTTGATAATTAAATAGATAGATAGATAGATAGATAGATAAATGGACAGGTGTCCTTTAAAGAATGAATGAATAAATGAATCGATTATGAATGAAAATGAATATTTTGGTGGAAGACGAGAAACGGTTCAAATAAATGTGAATGTGTGAGTGTGTATTACATATGTGTGTATATATATATGTATATATGCATGTGTGCATGTGTTGAGGTGGTCTCTGCAAGATGCTAACTTCTTGTGTTGGTGTTGCTGCTTTAATGCAGGCACTTGAAGGAATTTTGTTTGCAAAACTTTTTAAGCGCGTAAGAAGTAGCTTACAACAACGCGCGGTCTTCCTCCTTCTTCAATGCTAAGTTTCACAAACACTAAAGCATTTGTGTCGTTTAGATAGATGTATGAATAAATAGGTAGATAGATAGACAGATAGATAGGTAAATAGATAGATAGATAGATAGATAGATAGATAACTAGATAATTGTTAAAAGTATGGTTGCTTGGTTAAGAATTTAAATATATAAAATAAGCGAACACTCGTGATTACATTCTCACCTAAGCTTTCTGAGATGTTGTTGACTTGGTCAATGAATAAAGATCGTGTCACGTACTGATTGCACGGATTACATTTTGTAGTTTTGCTCGAATACCGCTACTGAAATGAAAAGTAGTACTCGGAAAAGAGTCATAATCATTATGGCTTGTAGCCTAGCTTCTACCCATTCCTTGTATATCTATTTGTATAAGCATAGAAGTACTCAAAGATTTATCTTCGTTGATAAATAAGTATTAGCAAAATTTGTTACAATACTAGAAATAGTTAAATTGTACTCGCATTCTTATACATACATACTATCATAATACTACTGCGCAGGCAATACTGAAGTACAGTTAATTTCATAGCTAATTTCTGTAAAGTGTCAACTATGAAATTGACTGCTATTATTAATAGCTAATCATAAGTGATTTGTTCGTTCTTTCATGCTTTTCAGCTCTTGCTTGCTTACTTAAACTTTCAGAGAGAATAAATTGTTAATTACTTACTACAATAAGTACGTAAAATAAAAAGTATTCAGTGCATTTACTGTTTAACTTTGCAATACTTTCTTTCGCTTTTTTGTCACTTTTTATTTACTCAAAAATTTGCCATTTTGAGCAAATTTTGTACTTTTCTCAGCAATGCCTAATGTCACATTTTAGCAATTATAACAACCAGTTGTTTTCAAGTTTTACACGTTAAAACAGCAAAATTATTATGACTATATCCATCTATCTATCTATCTATCTATCTATCAATCTATCAGAGCTGCAAACATTATCAGAGATCAATTGTAAAGCGAGATTACTTTATAGTAGTCATTGCCTTAAGGGATTAGAGTAATGCTATATTGATCACATTAATGCAAAACGAGTAACGATGGCAACAATAAGAACAAATTAATTGTTATAATGAGCTGTATTAGTGTTAAAGGTAAGATACTAAGTACTACTATACTGAAACGAGAAGCACGTCAAAGTCCTTTTTATCAATGATAATATTTTGATAAAAAGATAGTAATTTGAATCAAAAAAATAAAAGTGATGAGAGAAACAAGTTAAGTGTTATGACGAAGAATAGCAAATGCTTTCTACAGTATGAATAGAATTGAAGAAATAATTGACGCCATAATTTTGATGATAGCAATACTATAACGATGTCGAGAAGGAGCTTGTGAATATGCAATGCATTTGTTTTGCTAACACAGTCATTCAGCATTTGCTTGAATTGCTTATTCATTGCAATAATTATAAATTAGTTGGTAAATTTTAATATTACCAAAGTAGATAGGTAACATATGAAAGTAAAAAATAATTTATATTAATTTTGTACTTTTTTTAAAAGTTTTGAATTCAAAGTAAATTTGATAAGTTACAGATCAGTCAGTAGTACTTGAGTAATTAATTAGTCTGATACAAAAAAAGAATATTTCAAGACAAAAGAATCAGTTCTTTATTTTTCATGACAGTTGTAAGAAATTCTTCGTAATATATCGTATGTTGGAAACTTTTCTTGTCATTTGTAACTCTTTTCTATCCCAATCATTCGAGAATGAATATATGTGACTTTTAGATTTATGTGATAAATTTACAATAGAGAGCAAATTTCAGATGTGGCAGTGATTATCGTTATCATAAAAAGATTTAACGATTCATCTCAGCACATCCATTTATTATCTTCATTGTACTAAATTATCTATGCTAGACTATGACATTATCACTGTATACATTGGTTTATATATTATCACAAAGTATTTTATGGACAAGAACTGCTAATCCGGATCTTATACCCATACAAGGTTTTCATTATTGCATTATTTTCTTCATTTCACATTATTACTTTATTCATGCTCATATTTATTTCCAAATTATAATTATTTTATCAATATCTTATGTGTATTTATCTTTAAAGTTTGTAATCTGTAACTTACGTTAATAAAATTTCATACTTTCATGCAGCAAATTTTTCATAATTATACAAAAATAATTATGCGATTTGATTTTTTATTCAGTATAATTTGAAATAAATAAAATGTGTTTTTGAAAATTAACAACTTGGCTAATGTAACTTTTTTGTTTTATATATTAAGTAAAATTTGGATAGAAAAACTCCTCTGATGACATTGGATATAATTTAAATTGATAGTAATGATTGGTCTTGCTTTATGATAGTAAGTGAAATGTTCGGAAATGGATGGAACAAGAAGCCTCGATAAATTCATCATTATGCAATCAGTGTTAGATGCGTAATGTACATTCTGATTCAATTTGAAATTCATAACAAATATATGGAAAAACGATAAATGTTTGATTTATATTATAGGCTGTGCTATAAAAATGAACTAACTGTCTAAAATCATTTCAATAGAAACGGAATAATATTATTAATCAGGAATGATTTATAGCTTGGACGTTCTTTTTACTGAAAATGAAAATTAAATAATTTTTTTTACAAAAACTTAAAATAAAACAATTAATTTGTAGTAATATTGTTGATTGGTAAAGATAATTCTTGTGCTAGAAGTCAAAGTACTATATTAAAAATAGAACTGAATTTTTATGAGAGAAAAAAAGGAAAAAAAAAACCTAAATTTGGAACGTTTTAAATTTTAAGCATAATTTTCAGATAGAGAATCGATTCATACTTAATCAAAGTAAGACTGAGACTGAGTTATGAGCTTCTAGTAGTAATCACTAAATTCATGAATAAAAAATGCAAACAGAATCTATAGAGTAATAATAATGCGTCTTATATTATTAATGCATCTCAGATTAATATTATCACTGTTTAATCTGAAAAAATATTAACTGAAGTAATTCATCTTCATTCGTTTTGATCGAATTCAGATGCACGCGTAATTGCAGCTTCTATGTCAAGAAAGACTAGAATAAAGATAAATAAGTGTTTGTAATCGTATAACTGATTTGTTACACTGCAATAAGCAGCTAGAAACAGTTCAATGATAATTTTAATAAATGGAAATTAATTGCATATTAAACAAATGTTTTCTAGAAAATGACAAGTAAATTTTCTTCAGCTTTCAGAATCATGCCGACAATAATTTGCAGAACTATGTTACATATAAGAGTATGAATTAGTACTACAGATGTTAAGAAATTTAGTTTAATTTAACTTCTGAATATTAAATATGAATGGATGCTAAAATTATTGACAAATCAGAAAATTAATATGAAAAGTTTACAATTTGAAGCACAATAACTTCAGTTCAAAGTGATGAAAAAAGCTGGTAATGTTAATCGAAAATCTGATAAAAGCTATCACTTTGTCATTTACACGTAAATGAGACTTAATTCAATTATACACAATTGATGTACTTATTATTTTCATTTTAATTTGTGTACAAACCATATATATATATCTTTTGAGAGTATTTTAGGACAGTTACTTAATTTATTTTCTATTTTTTTGGGCAAAATCTTTTAAATTAGCTTAAATGGTTTTTTTTTTAATTGTAAATAAATTTGAATATTTACCAAGCGGTTAATGAAGAGACAAAATAGCTTATTAATGAAACAAATTGTTATTTTTGATGCTTAACTTGAATATTTCTCTTCATATCAGTGTTATATTGTTAAATGATGCCAAAAATGATACGGTAGCAATGACTAATATTCATGGTGTTAAATAATAATTACAATAATAGTAACTCAATTAATGGAATAGTTAATTACTTGTTAATCAGTATGTTTCGATCAGACTATATCAAAGTACTATTCAATCATTTTCCAGCTTTATTTACAGAAATATATTCAACTATTACTTAAATAAATGCATTTTTTAAATAAAAAAGAAAACAATACAAAGCTATACATAATTAGTACGTTACTTTTTTGTGAAGAAAATATTTATGCAAAGAGTTTAGTCAAGAAATTATTATTCTGATCAATGCTGCTGTCATCATTATCATAATCATAAAATGGAATAAAAATTAAGTATGAAGTATGAAATGTAATTAATTTTTTGTACTCTTAAATAATTTTAATTTTAATACAAATTCTTGAAGTCGTTATGAGAAGAAAAGATTATTGCTACCTGAAATAGTAGTAGTAGTAGTAGTAATTATTACTATTATTATTGTATTTTGTCATTATTTTTTTGAATTATCAGTAATATTATTGTTCTTTAATTGCAGACAATAATTGTTTTCAACTGCTACCACAATGCATTTATTTCAAACATTTTTGATATTATCAAAGTATTAACAAACAAAAAAATGACAACTTTTCTTCTCTCGACGATACTTGTTTAATTTTTAAATATATTAATCAAATTCATTTCTGAGCTTCAATAAGTATTTACGTATTTGTGTTCAAAAGTTCTTAATATGAAAAAATGCTCGTATAAGTAGTAGTACATACAGATAGCATATGTGCGTGTGTGTGTGTATGTGTTTGTGTGTGTGTGTACATCTATTAATGAGAAAAAACAGGAAAGAATTTGAAAAGAACGAAGGAAACTGTATTTTTACCATTTTGATATGCTTATGTTCGATATAAGAAGAAAAGAATTGGTGGAATGAAGAAAGAATAAATAGCAAAAAAACTTAAAATGCTTTTAACAATTTCCCTTAACACTGAATAACATTTCTTTTAAATTTTCTTTTCTTTTCAAGTGGCAATTTTTAACAATTTTGAATTATATTTGCAAATATGCAAGTGAAAAATTTTAAGAAAATTTCAAAAAAGAAAAGAAAGTATAAATTTATGCATAAAATATGAAAAAAAATTAAGACCAAATCATCAAAATTACTGATTGATTAATAAATTTATGCAAAAAGTATCACAAAACATGCATAGTTCAACGATTGCATCTGTATTTGAGATAATATTTTGAATAAAGCTTAAAAAAGTTTTATTCTTTTTTATTTGAATGCAAATATCAAAATATTATTATTTGTATTTTTTTTAAATTTTTTAATTCAAAAAAGATTGATTGGTAAGCTGCACAAATGATTATAATAACTCATTGAAGTACTGCTTATTATTATTGTATTTTATTTATCATAAGCATATTTTATGACTGATAACAAATTTATACAATTAAATATATAAGAAAATATTTATTTTAGAAATTAAGTTATATTACACTGTAAAATTGATTTGAGAAAGGACGTTTACGTACTTGTGCTAAATGTTTTGATCTAATTTCAGGTCACTTTTAATAAACAAAAAGTTGACAAATATATGCTTTATTGCTTGAATTTTAGCAATTTTATGAATTTTTACTCACAAAATTATAAGTGAATAATCTTATAACTTTACTTTATTAAGTAAAATTAGAAAATAATACTATAAAAAAAGATAAAACTTTATAAAGTGAAAACAGATATGAGGTCAACTTCGTTATCACTGATCAAAAGAGGTTAGCACAAGATATCAGTATCAGATAAGCAACCAGCTAAAAGGTTAGGAAAATTAACTATTTTAATTGAAATTAGTTTGTAAATAAAATTCCGAATAAGCGATTATAATAACTTGAAATTTATTGTATTCCAGTTCAAGAGGCATTGTATCAATTTTTATTCACACAATTATACGTAAATAATCTTTTCAAAAAAACAATTTTGACAGTTTTATTTTTGATGCATATCAACCATTTTCGTTTAACTTTTTATTTTTGTTACTACGAATTTTTACACTCATTCAAAGGACGAAATGAGTCAGAAAATTTCCATAAATTTATCACAAAAATTGTATCAAAATTCTGCAATTATAACTAATGAAAGATTATATCATTTCAATTATTTGTTATAAATCTCTGCAAGGCACTTCTTTGTCTTATTACTACTTCATATAGATAAGGCTTTCTGAATCAAATCACTGATCTAATCATTGTGCAATTTTTTTGTAGCTTGTTCATTAGCTGAATACACATTATGGATATTAGCTCTTAACTACTTGATTATTGCTTCACTGATGTCCACTTCATTTTTACTTCAAAATTAAGCATTAAAAATTTTCAAATAAGTATAACTTACTTATAAAACATTATTTATAGCCTGTTTAATCAATGTTTTTCAAAATAAATCTTAAAGTGATGCAAATAAATGATTGCAGTAGACTCGCCAATCTCACCAGGTGAGGCCTCTTTCCCCGGTTCCATCTCGGCATCGGTGCATTCCGGTGTAGCTGGTTGCTCAGAAAATGATTTTCGTTGTAACGATGGTAAATGTATTCGTTTTGAGTGGAAGTGCGATGGATCTGGAGATTGCTCAGATGGCGAAGATGAGAAGGACTGCCGTTCGTATAACTTTTTTTATGAATTTTAAATAATTTGTGAAGCATTGTATTTATCCGTGTATCATAATTTCGCATACTTTTCTTGATTCATTATAATTACTTTTTGCCATTATTAAACAAATTAATTAATTATTAATTGCTTTAATATTAAAATAATTAACAAATATAAATAACAAATTACTTATCATTTTTACTGGTAGAAAAGCTTCATAAATAATTTATTTCATTTTTAGGTCTACACAATTTCAATATTTGTTAGCAAAAAAATATTTTCTTAGCTTAACTTTTTCAATGTTAAAGATTAAAATAAATAATTATAATAAATTAAATGATTCAATAAATCTGGTCAATTTAGCTCATCCTGGATGCAAAACAGATCAGTGGCAGTGTGATAGATATGAGTGGCGTTCTACTTCATGCATTCCCGAGTATCAGCGCTGTGATAATATTACTGATTGCGCAGATGGATCAGATGAAGTAGATTGTCGTAAGTATCACTTTTCTAATCTTACACTATCGCTTGTTCAAAGTTTTTCAGATCTTATCAAACTGTATCACTCAAGTATTAAGTAATGAAATAAAAATATAACTGAAAATTAAACCATATATCATGTTATTTAAATGTATTTTACATTTTTCAGCTGCTCCGAGCATTTCTTGCAACGTAAATGACGGCTCCGTATTTCAATGCGCTGACGGTAGGCAATGTTTTGATATATCAAAAAAATGTGATGGAAAGTACGATTGCCGAGATTTGAGTGACGAAAAGGTATATACAAATAAAATTAAATGCATCTTTTTACTTACTATGATTACGTCAAAGCACGTAACCTTTCAGGAGAAAGTTAAAATTAAACGATTATGTGGAAATTGATAAAAAGTTGTGCAACAGAATTCAAGTTGTGAAAAATCATACATAAATTTAAAATGTTTTAACTTATCAGTTTCTGAAAAACAGTTACGCCAATTCTTCTGATTCATTCTTCTGTTTAAAGTTGTCTTCAAGAAGTGCGGAGGTAAAAAAAATTGCTGTAATTTTTTTGAGCAATATTCGCATACTTGTAAATATTGCTCAACTTGTGCAATTGTATTAATAAATTTTCATGATTATTTTATAACAACTTTGCTTCTTCTCAAAATATCTTTGTCTTAAATTGTAGGATTCCTGCCCTCGTAATCATACGGCTTGCTTCCAATACCAATTTCGTTGTGAGGATAGATCACAATGTATTCAGAAGTCTTGGGTATGTGATGGTTCAAATGACTGTGCTGATGGTTCAGACGAGCCACCGACTTGTGGTAATCTGTTTCTTATATTTGTATCAGATAAATTCATGTCATATTAATTTTTTAGATTAAAATCATTGTACTAAGTCATTCTCATGAATCAAACTTGTATAATTGCATAAAAATTGAAAATAAAACATTTTTTGCATATATTATGAGCAAATTTGATATTTACTAATTTTTTAATCTATTTAAATTTTAAAATTATTTTTTATGCTTACAGAATTTAAGCAGTGTGGCGGTGGCGAATTTCAATGCAAAAATAAACGATGCCAACCGAGAAAATTCCGATGTGACTACTACGATGATTGTGGTTCGGCTTACTTTCAGTTACTTTATCTAATTAAATTTTATAGTGAAAAAAAAGTAAAGCTGTTGTATATAATTTTCAGTACATCTCAACATCTAAAGTTATTATCTGTAAATAATTTCAGTAATTCTTCAGAATCAAACAAAGAAAAGCTTAGTTTATTAAAAATATTAACAAACAGTTTTAAAAAAAACATTTTTTAGATTATTTGTATAAACATTCTGAAATTATTCTTAGGTTGAAGTAAATGTCTTTCTTCATTATTAGTTCTCTATCTTAATAATTTAGAAGTTTAACTGCTCCCATTCTTATCAATCTTCACAAAATTTAAATTTAAAATTTTTTTTCTTTATTCAAATTATAAAGTAGTTATGATAATTTTCAGTGATTCAGTATTGAGTGCATATATGATAATATTTTAAAAATCCTTAGGTGACAACTCGGATGAAGAAGGATGTGGTCATTATCTTTGCCCCCCACAACAGTGGAATTGTCCAGGTTCAGGTCACTGCATCCCAGAAACTAAATTATGTGATGGTAAAAACGATTGCTCTGACGGTGCCGACGAACAAAATTGCTGTTTGTTTTCTCAATAATTTTTAATAATTATAAATATTGCTGAAAAATTTGATAAACAGTTATTTTGAATGACGCATATGATCTGAACTTAATAGTAATTAAAATTTGCGCTTATTTTGAACCGCACATGAATGAAAAATTGGTAGCAAATTTTCAGCATCAAATCTCTGTCCATCATTAGGATGTCAAGCTGGATGTCATCCATCACCATCTGGTGGAGTTTGTACTTGTCCAGTTGGTTACAAATTGGATAAACGATTTCAACGGATTTGTTCAGGTAACAAGCAAGAATTTCTCAAAACTAAAAGTAGTAATTATATTTTGTATTAAAGATAATTTTACGATTACAGCAATACTAACTAGAATTAATTTTTCTTGTTTAAGATAATATAGACTACTAAGCCAAAGTTTAAGTGCTTTAAGATACTGTATAAGAGTATTTGTATTTAATAAAAAATTTTTCATTACTAATCACATAATGCTATCTTCAACTTTATCATCGAATATAAGCAATGTTTAATCAAATCAGCTTCATGTAATCAGTTGTTGACAAAGCCAAATTGCATCAGCGATTATATTGAAGTAAAAAATTTTTAGAGTAGTAAATTCATTATGCAAACAATTTATTCCTTATCAGATATCAATGAATGTGTTGAATGGGGGTACTGTGATCAAGGGTGCCAGAATCATCGTCCAGGATTCACATGTTCTTGTCTTGGGAAGTGCTACCATTTAGAAATGATGCATGGTCCCAGCAAAGATAATTACTCTTTGAGAGGATACTGTATATCCCATGAATCAGATAGCATGCGTTTATATGTTGCCAGAAGAGAAGGCTTATATAGGTGAAACTTTTTTCACACAATTTTTTAGCAATTCTTTTATTTCCGTAATTATGTTTTTCTACAAGAAAATAATAACAAGAAATATATTTAGCCGAAATTTAAGTAATATATTCAGAATATAATGCAAATCTAATAAAACGATAGCAAATGAATTTCTTGCAATTATTCCATTTAAGAAAATGATAAATTGATAACGATATGAATATTTTGACTACGGAAAATTGAAAGATAAAATTGTTTGCTTTTGAAATCACTCAAATATTACATTGTTAATGAATTCAGTGCTTAAAAACTTATTATTCATAATTAATTTCACCAAATATTCTATTAACATCGTTGCATCGAATAATAATAATCTTTATTAAACTTAATAAAAAATCTATTATATTTCAAATATTAATAAGAAGAAGCTTTTAATATACAAATTTTTGACTAGTAATATTGTGACTTTTAACATTTTAGTATTATATTTTGTTTACATATGAAATTTCACTAATCCAAAACAGCGATATAATAAATGAGAAATTTTGATAATATCAGGATAAATCCGAATAATCCCAACGAAGAAGCAAAAAAATTAGTGTCTGGCGAATTTATTTACGGCATTGGATATGATTTTGGTGATAAAAAGATGTTTTGGACCGATCGTTTATCACATTCAGCATTCAGTGCTGATATCGATGATAGCGGTGATATAAAAAATATCAAGTAAGAATACTACTGTTTTTTTGTGATTAATACAACTTATCTTTTAAATTCTGCTAGTATGAATATTACGTTTTATAATAAAAGGAATGCTTAAATTGCAGGAAACTTAATTTGAAAAACTTGGTATATCCACGGAATTTAGCTGTAGATTGGATTACAAATCATCTGTATATAATTGAGTCAGGATCGAGACGAATTGACGTATCAACTTTTGATGGAGAACGAAGAACCGTTCTAATTGCAGATGGCTTAACTTTACCATTAGATATTGCATTAGATCCAATCAGAGGGTAACATTCAGTTAAATTTAAATTTTAATTCAAACAACAATAATAATAAGAACACTAATAATAACAATATTATTATTATTATTATTATTGTTATTATTATTATTGAATAAATTTTAAAAAAATTGCAATTGATGACGTTATGGATAGAATTTGGTAATTTAATTAAATGTGCTTACTTTGCTTCTATGTTTAAAGTTTGAATTTCTATTTTATAGTTTCTTATTGAAAAAGAGTAAATAATTGTATTCAAAAAGTTGTTCTGCTAAGACAATTTTATTTTTTTCAGAGAAATGTTTTTCTCTAACCAATTTAAACTGGAGGCAGCAGCGATGGATGGTACTGGTAGACGTACATTAATTGACACTCACACACACCAAGTGAGTGGTGTCGTAGGTCAGTTATTTTATTATTTAGCACATTGGAAATGGGGTCATGTGTATTCAGCATTTCAAATGCATAATGATGCACACTACAAAGAATTTTGATTTGCTTCAAAAAGATGACTTGTTTTGTTAGTATTCAAATTTCAGTTGATATTGCCGCTAGACGAGTTTACTGGGTAGATCCAAAAGTTGATCGTGTAGAATCAATCGATTACACTGGAAATGATCGAAAAATCGTAATTCAGGGAATGAACAATGTTTGTATATTTTTTGCAGATTTTCTTCTTATTTCTCAAATTCACATTTTACAAGTTTAAATTTATGGCTCTATAATGTATAATATTAAACCAATATCCGCTTTATGTTCACTCCAAATTTTTTGATCAAATAATTGAATTTACCCTTTAAGGTGCCACATCCATTTGGCTTAACAATATTTGATCAGTATCTTTACTGGACAGATTGGACGCGTCTCGGTATCGTTAGAGTAGAAAAATTCGGTTCAGCTACAGATGTTATTTGGTTGGTAGAAAAAGCTCTCTTCTATTATAACAAATCAGATTAAATCACATAAAATTATATGAATTTGTTAGCAAATACTCAACAATAAATGTGAATTGATAAATAAAATGTATGCTGGAAATAGTGAAAATGCAAGGAATATAAGTATACTTAAAAGTGTAATCATGAAATTATTCTTCACGATGTGTTTTTCAAGTATTTTTGTTTTAGGACCAAAAAAGAAAATAATGTTTTTCCAATGGGTATTGCGGCATACCATCCTATGGCCCAAGTTGGACCTCAAGAAAGTGAATGTCTCGGATTAAAGATTGATAACACATGCGTTGATGTGGATTGTCAGGGAATGTGTATTCTTAGCAAAGATTATGGTGGATTTGGTGTTGGCTACCGATGTGTTTGTCCTATCGGACAGGTTTCTTACTTTCTAAAATACTTGACTATTTTTTATTTTAGCAATTTATAATTTTTTTTTTCATTAAATACAAAAAATGCAGTTCCTCAAATTTTAAATTGGTTTTTGCATTGCTTAATTTATTTTACAGAAATTAGTCGATGGAAAACGTTGCATTGATTCCACCGATTATCTCTTATTTAGTAGTAACAAAATAGTGCGTGGAATCTTCCCAGACATGTTGCAAAGTTCTTTAAGTGAAGCTATTTTGCCTATTTCGCCTGTATCACAACGTCGTATAGGAATGTATTTTGAAGTTGAATGTGATATCCACGGAAATAGCTTCTTCTACGCTGATATCATGGATAACACAGTCTATCGGTAATTTTATATCATGCATTTTAGAAAATTTTTAAGCGTGCAAATGAAAGCAAAAAGTTTTCTCAAAAATTTTACTTTTCACCAAAAATCTCAAATAAACTATATCTTATATTTAGTCAGTACAAGAACATATCTGTGTATATATGCAAAAATTGCTAAAGTTACTCACAAAAAATGAAAAATACACTAAAATGTTTTTATTTTGCAAAAATAATTTCAAAACTTATCATTAAATAAGGTAAAATCAGGTTGATCTTACACTATAGTCTAGATGTAATTCTTTTGTCCTGTGCTGCAATCTATTTCAATTTTCATTCGTACTATTCACAGAGTGAAACCAGATGGAGAGGGATCAGCACCCGTACTGGTCACTCATAACGATGGCCTAGTGTCCATGTCATTCGACTGGCTTTCAAAACAGCTTTATTATGTTGATAACATCAGAAACAGCCTTGAAGTAGTCAAAATATCCGAACAAGTTAGTTCATAGTTACTCATTTCATAGCCACTATTCGTTTGGTTAATGGCATGATTTTGTACTTACTTATTTCATCGAAGAAACTTTCTGAAACAAAATAAAATTATTACTGTACAGTTTTTGTTTGTAAATAACAACAAATCACTTATATCTATTTTTTATATTCTAATTTATTGAGTGTTTAGGGTTTAATCCATCCTGATCAGCTAATTCATCGGCAATTACTGACTGGATTGCGTGATCCTGTTGCAGTTGCAGTACATCCTTGGCGTGGAATTTTATTCTTTGCTGAAGCTCAACGACCAGCTAAAATCTTTCGATGTAATATAGGTAAGATATTTACGTGATATCAAAAGTAGCTATTTTCGTGTATTCATTTTAGGCTTTAAATAATTTTTTTTTTTACGAAAAAATATTTTGTAGATGGCAGTGGGTGTCAAATCATACGCAATACAACTCTTGGAAGACCTTCAAGTTTTGCCATAGACTTCTTAGAAGATCGTCTTTGCTATGGTGACACTTTGCTCAAGACGATCAATTGCATGGATTTTGATGGCTCAAAACCATATATTTTACCTGTAGACAATCCAATACCTGTTGCGATTGCTATACTTGGAGGTGACTGATCTAGTTATTAATGATTTTGTTAATAATATTATGTAAATGAGACGATAAAGTAACGAAATTGTGAGTACAGTGTTTTGTACTTGTCTAATACTGTATTTATTTTATTTTACAAAATGATGCTGTCAAGTTTTGTTCTCTTGAAATAGAATGTGAGAACGCATATAACTACAGATGAAATGTATTATGTCCATCAAAGGCCTTATTCAATACGTCGTGTTAATAAACGTAACGGTGGTACGGGACGAGTTGTTCGAGAGTTTGTCGGTGAAGATCGAAGTGTTTTCTCTTTAAAGGTAGTACGAATACAAATTTCAGAATTATACAAATTTGGCAATTTAAAAAAAAACGTGTTTTTTACTTTTTGCCAAATAAATAAAAGTAATGCTATGAAATGGTTTGCTTAGTATAACCTTTACATTTTAGGCTTGTTCTACATCTAATCAACCCATTCCAAATCCATCTATGGAACATCCATGTCATGCTAGTGATTGTTCTCAGCTTTGTTTTGCTCTTCCAAATTCTTCTTCATCATCAGAAGCTCAACCATTAGTGAAACAATGTGGATGTAGACAAGGTAAGTTACTTTATACAATAAAGTATTACTCTTAATTTGACAATAAAAAAAATTTAATAAAAAATTATCAAAAGCTTTTGTTTCTTTTTTTTTTTAATACTAAACTAGACTTATAAGTTATATTTAGGATTCAAAATAAATCCTGAAAATATGCGCACTTGTCAACGTGATCATCGTGAAGTGATTGAAGTATTGTGTGCTAGTAATTCATCACAATTTTCTTGTGCTAATGGACGCTGTATACCTAACGAATGGAAATGTGATGGTGAAAATGATTGTCTCGATGGTAGTGATGAGGTATAGTTTTTAATTAATTTTATAATTGTTATAATCGAAAGAATAAAAAACATTACAGTAATAAGATTCAATTCAGGTAGGAGCAGATGGAAAGCCTTGTTTTGTTAAAAAAGAATGCCCATTGAATACCATACGGTGTAAAAATACTAACAAATGCATTCCACAACAATATGCTTGTGATGGAGATAATGATTGTGGCGACTATTCAGATGAAGATGTCAAGGTGAGATAAGTAATGATAAGTCGTGCACAAGACTTATCATTTCGAGTAGTGCATTTCTGGAGAACTAAGACTTGCTGAAACATTGAGTATGCATTAAAAAAATAAAACGATAGAAAGTGAGAAATTTGTGATTTTTTGAAAACTTTGAAAATGCATAATTCTACAAGTATTTATTTATAGTACTGCAAAAATGGTGCAACTCCTGTTTGTGCTGCACGGAAGTTTCAATGTGATAATCATCGATGCATTCCGGAACAGTGGAAATGTGATTCTGATAACGATTGTGGCGATGGTTCAGATGAAAAATTTGAAATGTGCAGTAATGCAACTTGTGCTTCTAATCAGGCAAGTTGATTGTAAATACAGTTGTGTAATTGACAAATTAAATTTTGTTGTTGAGACTACCAAAATTTATAATAAAATTTGAGAGAATTAAAATTAAAAAAACGGTATCAAAAGTTTCTTCTTTATTCGTAATTTGAAGAACTGAGCAAAAAGAAAGACGCAAGAGGTTTCATAAAAACCAAAAAAACATGATGAATATAATGATAATCATCATGTTTAATTATTTTTATCTTTTTTTTTGTCTTTTTTACAGTTTACTTGTGGAAATGGCCGTTGTATTCCGGTATATTGGCTGTGTGATGGTGATAATGATTGTTATGATAACACGGATGAAGATAAAGAACGATGTCCTCCTACATTATGTCGTCCTGATCAGTTTCGCTGCGCGAATAAGCGTCAATGCATCTCACTTAAAAATCATTGTGATGGACAACAAGATTGTGAAGATGGTTCAGATGAAGAGAGTTGTCTGATTCAGGTTTTACTTTATTTATATTTTCTGCTGAAATAAAGAGAAAATCAAATTAAAAAATAAAACAAAAATACCTATGCATAGCTACAATAAGCGACAAAAATAAAAACTACAAAACTGGAAAATAAACTACAACAAGCAGAACAAGATTCTTCTGAATCATTGAGTACACGTAGAAAATAAGCACATAAGCAGTTGTGATCAGTAAATGAAAAACTTTTTAATCATAAATTGAAGTAAAATTTTTATTTGATATATTTTAAATGCATTTCAATACATTATTATTAGTAATGATATTATTATCACCACTTTTTTGTATATTTTCGAGATCAGTATTATCTTAAAACATATTTATGTTCGTAATTTTTTTTTTCTCTTCCAAATTTTTTGCACAGAAATTACATTTTAGGAGAATAAGTGTGTTCATGGTGAATTTACATGTGTATCCAGTGGAATTTGCATACCGTTGTCATGGAAATGCGATGGACAAAAGGTGCATAATTTTCGATTTCACTATTTTGTATTTACTTAAAAACAAATTTAGCTTTTCAGTAATTCGTTTTTTTCAGCATAACCGTTACAATTCTCAACAAGAAGTAATAATTTTAGGACTGTGAGGATGGCAGCGACGAGCCTGAAGGCCTTTGCTCTTCAGTTCAGTGTGACAAGGATCATTTCAGATGTGCCAATGGTCGTTGCATTTTTAATGTAAGAAATATTATTCAATTTAAATTTGCATAAATTATTTGAGGTACTGAATAGATATTATTTATATTTTTTCATGAGTAAATATGATTTTTCTTTTCTTTAGTCTTGGCTTTGCGATGGTGAAAATGATTGCGAGGATAACAGTGATGAGGATCCCGCGCATGGTTGCCAACGATCGGAGCAACTCTCCCCTCGTTGTCCATTCCAATATGTAAACTATTTTTAATCACTCGTTCAAGCAAGATATGTATATAATGAAAAAGCAACTCATATTATTTAATAACTGTTAGTTATCATTAAGTTAATCGCATTATTATCATTTCATAAAAAACCTCACTTCGCGCCACTTATTGCTTTTCACTACCTGAAATCCACATAAAATACATTTTTAGTGATTTCATGGAAGTGAAAGTTCACAATAATGCTTGACTGTTTAGGTAGCCTGTCCAGGAGCTCCAGATATTTGTATACCGTTGCATAATTTATGCGATCGTAAAGAGCATTGCCCAGGTGGTACTGATGAAGGTGGTCGTTGTGCTCGAGATTTATGTGCAGCAGATCGAGCTGGTTGTGCTTTCAAATGTCACATGAGTCCTGATGGTCCACTTTGCTCATGTCCTTTTGGTGAGGCGGTGAGGTTTTGTCAGTTCCTTTCAGGAAAATTGCAATACTTTTATGATGCTGTACTTTATCTTTTGCGCTGCTTCTTATATTTTTAATTTTAATTTAAAATTGAAATTAAATATTTTTAGGTTGTGAACAAAACAAAATGTGAGCCAGAAAACGAATGTTTAGATGCTCGTTCATGCAGTCAAATCTGTACTGATGAAAAGCACGGTTTCACTTGCAGTTGTGAGCAAGGATATACATTAGATGCTGACAAACGAACTTGTAAAGTTACCGATGGTGTTGAGGTACTGTATAATGCCATCTTCTTTCTATACTGTGATCATTATCTCACTTCCTGAGAGATAATCATTTCATTTGATTAATTTGCTTTCAGGATATGCGCATTTATGTATCAAATCGAAATCGAATATACTGGTCTGACCATCTCTTAGAAAATTGGCACACCTTTGAAGCTCGAGTTGAGAATGCAATTGCATTGGCTTGGGATTCAGTAGAAGATCGAATTTACTGGTATGCACATTTTTATGAAAGAATTGATTACTAATTGATCTCGGTACACTTTGATACTATTAAATATTTGCTTGAATTGTTTTGCATACTTTTCTTTTTTTGTACTGTGCTGCAGCAGTACAATAATATTGTAAGATTACTTGCAGTATGTGAGCAATCCTTCAGGTCAGATATAAGAGAAAAGAAAATCTTCTCGGCTTCAAGAAATGGTACTAATATGACTGTGTTTATAAGCGAAGGGCTCGATGTTACAGAAGGGATTGCTCTTGACTGGGTTGCACGTAACTTGTATTGGGTAGATTCAAGTTTAAACACCATTGAAGTGGCATCATTGGAACGAGCTGGTGCAAGGTAGATTATTTTTTAATTTTGCCATCATCATATTCTACATGCTTTAATAATACAATATATTTTGTATTTTTTTTTTCATCAAAAAACTTTGCTAAATTCATTTAAGGAACTTGAAAAATTTTTGATCGTATTATTATTGTAACGATTTTTTAAATTGTATTCAATGCAATAGATTAGTTAGATTTGTTTTTGCAGAGCAGTATTAATTCATGAAAATGTCGATCAACCTCGTGGTATTGCTGTTGATCCTAGAAATGGATTACTATTTTGGACTGATTGGGGACAGGTGATGTAGTTTCCAAAAAATCACTGTATTTATATTTTTTAATTATTCTTCACTAAATAATAAATTTTACATGCAGAATCCCCGTATTGAACGAGCAAATATGGATGGTTCTGAAAGGCGGACTCTGTTAAATTCAAAAATTTATTGGCCCAATACAATTGCTTTAGATCTGACTACTAATCGACTTTACTTTGCTGATAGTAAATTGGATTACATCGATTTTGTTAATTATGATGGCACTGGTATGTTTGATTTTGAAAGTGACTCTCAACTTCTGTATAAGTCAGAGCAAAAAAATACTCTTTGACTATAAAGCAAGGAGATAATGGAATGAATATTTCAGGTCGTACACAGGTTCTCACCTCATCAAAATTCGTACAGCATCCACACGCATTAGCAATATTTGAAGACACAATTTACTACAGCGATCGTCGATTACAAAAACTTTTACTGTATCCAAAATATCCCAACGGTACATCAACAGAGTATCGTTCACATACATTTTCAAAAGCTCTTGGAGTTGTTGCTGTGCATCCAATTTTGCAACCACATTTGAATAATCCGTGTGATGGCAATCCTTGCTCTGATTTATGTCTAATCGGTAAAAACATGGTTAGTTTTATCCATGCTTTGTGTGGTTATTCAAATTTTCACGTCTTTTTTTGCATTTTATTGTTTGTCGATCAGCTATAGAATTGTAGTAAATTGAAACAGAATGCTTCTAAAGCATCTAAAATTTGTTTTCAGAAAAGTGTGTGCAAATGTCCATTAAGTAAAATACTAGATGTAAGTGGCAAAAATTGCATCAGTGACATGAAGCCATTTTTGATGCTTATTCAAAAGACTAATATTTTTGGCTTATCCATGGATGAATCAGTAAACAATACTCCTATAATCTCCGGAATGACACCTTTAGCTGGACTTATTAATGCATATGATGCCGCTTACGATCCCGAAACGGCTCAGGTAATAATTTTCTTCAATAATTTTGATATAAATCGAAATCGAAATACTGAACACTAATTAATAATTTTTAAAAAGTTCAGGTATTCTTCTTGGAGCATGCAACAGTTGGTCGTATTATTGGTCCTAATAGTCTTCCTGAATCACGAATATTGCAAGTAATTCCAGGTGCAAAGAATCGAACGGAGGTAATCAGAATAAATTTGAGATAAATGTAAAATATTAGTGGACATAAATAATGGAAATAAATAAATATTCAGATAATTGCTTCACAAATACCTGATGATCCATATGCAATGGCAGTTGATTGGATTTCGAGAAATATGTATGTTGCAAATAAAATTTCTCAAACAGTTGAAGTAATACGAACTAAGGATATTCAGGTAATTAAAAATTTCATATCAGAGATGATTTCTTTTTAAGATTTTAAAAGAATTTTAATAAGTAGTTATATGGAATTGATGAATCTTCATTTTTTTCATATTTTCAGTATCGAGCAACAATTCTGCATAATGATCAATCTCCTACGGCAGTGTCAAATCCAGTAGCTTTGGCGCTTGATTCTGATCGTGGATTTCTGTTCTGGTTAGACCAAGGTGGTGGTGCTCTTTCTCCCAAAGTAAGTTTCTAAATTATTGTCATGGCATATTTAATTTCATTTTATTCTGTATATATATATTTATTAATAGATAGCCCGAGCTGACTTAGATGGCAAGAACGCCTTGGTGATTGTTTCTAGTGATATCACGGAACTTAATCACATAGCGCTTGACACAGTCAATCAGCGCGTGTACTTCTCTGAAGCAAAAGCTGGGCGTGTAAGTTTTATCACTGTTACTTTTGCTGTGTGCTTTTTTTACTTTTTTGAATAATTATGAATATACGTGTAATGCTTTTTTTTTATCGCACTTGTAATTAGTACACTTAATATTTATTTATTTATAGATATCATTTGTATCATATGATGGTCAAGATCGACACTATGTATTAAATGACGTAGGAAAGCAACCACGTGGTCTTGCGTTTTTCAACAGTCGCCTCTTCTATGCTGATAGCGCATTTGATAGTATTGAAGTTGCTAGCATTACTAGTGATGTCCAGCTATTACAATTCCAGCATTTTAAGAAGGGTGCTGACCAGCTGGTCAATATCAAAGCCATATCTGGACGAAGTAGTAAGAATAAGCAACAATTCGAATTAAAAAAATACTATTAAAATATAAAAAGCTGAAATACTATTTAAAAAAGTGAGCAAAAC